AGAGTTTTCTTCTTATCTCTCCTGTCACCTCTATTACCCAGTTATTAGTATTTCTGGTTTTAACAAATGTGTTGTATCTGTATTTAACCCTGCTTTCATTTCCTGCTTGGCGATTCCAAGTTTTTCAACATTCTTAGACCAAAATGTTCCATAAACTGCTCCTTTGTGACCGACTTTTCTACGTCATATACATCATACTGGGTCCAGTTTTCTTGGCAGCTCTTTTTCAGCCCGCATTCATTGTCTCTATTATCTGCTGGATCTTTTTTATTCGTTTCCACCTTCCGTTTCCACTAGAATGCCTTGTCTCCCACCTTCTCATTCTTTTAATCCTTATTCTTTAATTAACGGATTCATTTTCTTGTAAGTTTTTCTTTGACATCCTCACACGTTAAATTGTCCTTTTCATTTAAAGGCTTAACAATCATTACCAAGAATTAGTCTTGAATCCGCTTTTAGTGTAGTACGTTGGATAATTTCTTTTTTTTCTGTTTCAGATGCTGCTGTTCCGGACCATGGAGTGAACGCCACTTGAACATAGGACATCGAACTGATAGAATTTTTCGATGCCAGGTAAGTACACTTTAATTTTTCTCTCTCAACGATACTCTCTTGTAATTTCCCTTCTAGTAGCACCCACTTAGACAATATGAACTTAATTATTCTTATTGATTTTATTGTTTTCATTAAAGAGACTCTTCTAGAGCTACTCTTTCAGATCTCACTTCTTCTAGCGTAACTTCCTTGTCGTCCTTTTCAACTTTCGGTGAGCCTTTTTGTTCCAGTTTCTCTCTTTCCACACTATTCGCACTGCTTTTTTGAACAATCAGAAAAATAAATACATCATTATCATCAGTTTCTCTGGTATTTTTTGAACTGGGGCGTTTTGTCGTTTTTTTTCAGCCGGAGAGTCGTATGCCTCTTCACCTTGTTCAAGCAAAGCGCTAAAGCAAGGCTTATTTATTCCTCCAGTTATTATTTTCGCCGATGGTGGTGGTGATCTGGGAATAGACTCCCTTCTCTTGAACGGGTCCTGTTCTTTATCTCTGGGTTTGTGTTTCATCGTTAACTTTGGTTTGAGTGTATTTTTAGTTTTTTCATTTTTCTCCATTTTTCATCCCACGAGTATGGTTGGAACAAGTATCAAGTGATTCAGAGCCTCCATGATATCACCAAGCCTAGCTACTCTGGGGGGTCGGCAGGTACCCCAGAGGGAACGTTTGCGACCGCGCTGTTTCACGTCTTCGTGGCCAAGCAGCCATCGGCACGTTGCCTTACACCTTGGCTTAAGACGTTTGGTGCATTTTAGTCTGTCCTCTCCTTCCAAACTCATCCGGCAAGGTTGAACCTACCAGGGGCATAGCCCCCGCCGGCATGACTTCGAAGGTTTGTTCGCGTCGCATGCCCTAACATGCTCCTTCTCACTCCAATGCGCTCCAATACGTTCGTGTCACCGGAAACAAGATGGCGACTAGATGTTCGCGTCACGTTAGAGCATACTCTAAGGAGCAATTAGGAGCACGCTCTATTTGCCTCACCTTCGAAGGTGGTGCATTTGGGGCTATTTTATCGCGCATGCGTGTGAAGCTGAAGCTTGTACTGTAAACAGTATCCACTGCTCAAGAGTCGGGTAGTCCAATAACCTCGCTTTTATTATTCGGCTACGCCGTCACTGTCTTGATATTTCACAATGGAAACTTCTTTTAAGTATTCAGGTAAGAATTTTATATATGATGCTGATTACTTAAATACTCATAATACTTTTTATATTTTTACTTAATTAACTAATAAAATAAATTCTAAGAGATAGATTAAATGATTTTATTCTAAGATAATTTAAATTGCATAAATATTGTACTATATTAATAGTTTTATTTTTCAGCTGTGAAACCTAAACTGGTATCATTAAAATTAATTAAGCCTCCCCAGACTTTGCGTGTACTTCTGTTGTAACTGCTACAACAAACTCGACACAGTTCCTAACCACAACTGCGCCTTTGGATTCTGTACTGAATAAAATAAGTTTTTCTACAATTCAACCTCAGACTATAATCCACGAGAGTCCTTCTGTTACAGTTCCTGTAACAAGCTCTATGCAGTACACACCTACAACTTTGTCTTCACTAGACTCTTCAATGTGAATGCTTTACTAAATAAAGCAGGTCCTTCTGAAATTCAGCCTCAGATTAAAATCCATGAGAGTTCTTCTGTTACGATTCCTGTAACAAGCTTTATGCAGCACACGCCTACAATTGTGTCTTCATTGGACTCTTCAATTATAGACTCAGATAATGAAAAAGAGAATACTTCTGGTGTCAATAATGATGGCTATTTTATTTGGGACTATAAAACCATAATGTTGTTTTTCACAGAGTATAACAGCATGAAAAAAAATTCCAGAAAAGAAAATATCAAAGTAAAGAGGCTATGTTTCAAGCGATAGCAGAATCCTTCCAAGAAAGAGGTTATGTGAATGCTACTAAAAATCACATGAAAAATAAATTTAAATTGTTGAAGAAGAAATGGGATAAACATATCAAACAGACCATGGGAAAAAATAGTTCTGGAAAAGGCACTAAACCTCTTCCATTTAAAGAGTAAGTTCTATCTTGTGTTTTCGTATATAATTATATATATATATAATTATATATATGATATTTTTGAATTAAACATTATAATTAATAGTTCAGTCGATTTGTTTCATATTTTTATTTTGTCATTCTTACAATATTCTGTTTTTATTAGTAGTTAGTATTATATTTAGTATTTAATAAGTAAGTAATAGAATACATATGTATCTTTACAGTGAAATGATAAACTTATTGGAAAAAGTCACAGTAGAGTGCCATCTTTTGTAGCTGGCCGCAATGGAATGGTTTCTCAAGAAGACATTTTGCAAAAAGTGGTCAGTCAACATTTGTCTCAGTGAGTAATCATCTCCTTAAAATGTTTTTAATTCATTTCTAGATATATTTTTAGATATAATTTAAAATGTTTTCTATTATAGGAATGTAAATGAAGAACAATCTTCTATTGCATTAGACTCGCCACCTTCGACACCATCTGCAGTTAACAGTCAATCTCAATCAGTAATAGGTAGCAGCAAATCGTCCATGTCGGATAGCAGTTGCTCATCTTTAATAAATACAAAAGCAAAAGTACGAGATGGCAAATTGGCGCATACTCTACAATCACTTAAGGAATCCATCTGTGCTGTGCTACAAAGAGAAAGTGATGCCAAACAAGAAACACGTACAAAATATCTGACGGAGCTTAAAAAATGTAATGAATTACAAATAGAACAATTACAATTGCAAAAAGAACGAAATAGTATCTTACAAAGGCAACTTAAGATACTAGAGAGAATAGAAAGTAAAAAATACTCAACACAAGAATTATCAGACGAAGAAGATTAATAAGATATAATAAGACTGAAGGTTTACTAAATTATATGTATACATAAGACATTCATAAAGTTTGTTCCTTTGCCTACTTAAAGGAGAAAATGTAGTAAAACACATTTATTAATCTTTTCTACATATAAATTCTGCGAAGTTACACATTTTTCCTGACAAGATCTGTCAGATATAGTAATTATAAAAATAGACACATTGTCTTTTAAAAAAATGTTAATAAGATATTATTACAAATTTATAAAATTTATGAACAGTTTATTAAGTTTAATTTTAATTTTGTTAAAAGACAAGTGTGTTGGTTTTTACAATAATTATATCTTAATTAGATCTAATAATTAGATCTTTCATCATTGGGAAAAATGTGTAACTCTACAGGATTCAAAGGTAAAAAAAAGCTAATAAATGTACACATTTCAATCACTTCATTTTTTACTTTATAACCAAAGTTACAAACTTTATGAACATTTCACGTAAATGAAGTTATATGTATTTAAAATTTATATAATTTTGTTAATTTTATTAAAATTTTTATTTCAAGTTGAAATAACTTTTATTTTATTAAAGTTTATTTTAGTTTTTTATTTATTTATTTTCTGTTATTTTGATAAACAGCGTGACAAAGCTGTATCAAGCTCTGCAAGAGAGGAAAGCTACATTTACTTATTGAGTTCTTTTAGTTGAAAAAAGCTGCATTTATTTATTGAGTTTTTTTAATTGGGAAAAGCTGCATTTACTTATCGAGTTTTTTTTTACATAATAAAGCAGCATTATTTACTTGCTGTTGGAGTGTCGGCAGAACTCCGCTGGCACTACAGACGACGTTGGCACGATGACCGCGAGGCTTTCGGAAGGTTGCGACTCGAGCCATCAAAACATTTTATTTTGGTGCTCGGTACACGCCGCTTTCGATTGCCTTATATGGTCATTTTTCGATAATGTTTACGAGAACTACGGTCCCCTTTCCCTCGCGATCGGGTGGATCGAGGAGCTCGAAGCGAGGGAGGGGGGCTTTTCTCGAAATTCCTTTTCGCGACCAAAAGGGCCAGTCTGATACTGGCACGACGAGCGGTACCATGCGCGTCAATTATCGAGACAACGAGAAATATATCTTTGTATTTCTTTTTTTGTAATTTGTGTTTTCTGTGTCAGTTAACGACGGCACAGCTTCGCGTGCCGTGAATAAAGACAAGTGACGTGTAAAGCATTCTTTTGAATCTCCACCCTCTAATCCGCGCAATCCACCGGCCGTCCTCCAACCGGCGAAAATTCGCACGGCGAGTCGCCAACATTTTGGTCCTTCGAGCCGGATGGCGAGGGTGAGACAAAACTCTAAGACCTTTTCAGTGAATAACCGTTCGTTTAGTGCATCGTGCCTATAGTGCCGCGTACCGTGCCGCGCACCCTGCCGCGCCCACAGTGCCGTGTACCGCACCCGCACTTACCGGCTCTACGACCTCGGGCCACGATCAGCTGTGCGCGTCTTCTCTCTCTTTCTCGTTCTTTCTCTCTCTAATTCACGCGGTCTATCGCGCTTCGTAACGCGCTTGTCAATCTTGCCATCTCTTTTTTTTGTAACGCTCTGCGATGGATCTCGCAATTAAAAAACAGATGAATACTGCCGGATATATTGAGCGCTTCTGGGACAATTTAATTAAAGTCGGCAAGGACAAAATGACACGCACGTATCTCACCACGCGCCTTGAGTTGCTCGAGTCATATTGGACGCGCTTCCTGGATGCCATCCTCTCTTTCGAGAAAATAGACTCTTCGGATTATATGCGGCAGGACGTTTACGCGGTGACCGAGGATAATTACGTAGCCACGAAGTCGCGTATCACTTCCTTTATGCCGACGACGAGATCCGCGGACGGGCAAAGTGCCGCAAGTTCAGTGTTGCGCCAGATCCAGCTGCCGAAGATAAGCTTGCCGAGGTTTGACGGCGATCAGCTAGCCTGGGAAGGCTTCCGAGACCTCTTCAAGTCGCTGGTCCATGACGTGGAGGGACTCACTCCCTCGCAGAAGCTGCAGTATCTGAAGGCCAGCCTAAGCGAGGACGCGGAGGCCGCCGTCGCCAATATCGAAATCTCTTCCGACGGATACGCGCTGGCGTGGGATGAACTCGTGACGCGCTACGATAACCGGCGAGTCCTCTTGGCGACTCACATGCGCGTGCTACTCTCTGCCGCGCCGGTAACCAAGCCGTCATCAGCGGAAATCAACCGCCTGATTAGCGCGGTCAACCGGGCTTCGCGCTCCTTCAGGGCAATGGGCCGCCCAGTGGAGCACTGGGACGACTGGTTCGTCCATATTCTGGTCGAGAAGCTGGATCCCGCCACCAGGCTATTATGGGAAAGCCATCGATCGAGTCGGGACTTTCCTAATTTCGAGGAGCTCAAGGCGTTCCTCCTCACGCGGGCTCATGCGTTGGATGCCTCTAATCTGCGGACGCCGATGACTTCCAGCTCCGCTTCGAAACAGAAGCGTACGGGCCGCAAGGACGACGTCGCGTCTCACGCCATGGCCGCGAGTGACCACAAGGGCACGCCGTGCCCCCTGTGCAGAGAGCAACATCACATGCGCTCCTGCCCGAGATTCAAGACATACTCGACGGAGCAACGCCGCGAGCAAGTGCGCAAAAGGAAGGCCTGCTTCAACTGCTTGGGACAGGGTCACGCCGCCGGAGCTTGCCCTTCAATTCACCGCTGTCGCCACTGCCAGGAGAAGCATCATACGCTTCTGCACACAGAGCCGGAGACGACGCCACAACCTGCCGCTTGGGAAAAAACGGCATCAGACGACTCCGCCGACAAACTGAGTAACGTGGAGACGTCCAAGGTCTCCGCCTTGACCAGCTCTATCTCCACCACAGTGCTCCTCGCGACCGCGGTTATTCGAGTGTTTGGTGAATCGGGCCGATCGTTGACAGTGCGCGCTCTCCTGGACTCAGGATCGGAGGCGTCCTTCATCTCGGAACGCGTAGCCCAGCAGCTGAGACTACCCTGCCGACGAGTGAACGTGACGGTTTCCGGACTTCAGGGCGCGACGACCGGGCGAGTGACTCACGCAGTATCGATGGAGATCGGCACGGAGCGACCGCCAACAGTACGGATCACCCTGCCGAAGGCGCTGGTCCTGCCTCGGCTCACCGCCCTCACACCAGGGAAACACATTCCGAGAGGAGAATGGCCGCACCTGCGGGGCCTCATGCTTGCCGACCCGGCCTTCGACAAACCGGCGGCAGTCGACGCCGTCCTAGGCGCCGATATCTACGGCGTACTGCTCGACGGAGGAGTCAAGCGTGGACAGCCGGGGAACCAGCCGCTCACTCTACCGTCTTCGGTTGGGTGCTGATGGGTTCCCTCATCGGACCCGCCGATCCTCTTCCAAGCCGAGTCGCCGTCCACCATACTACCACGCAGCCTGATCTTCACCAGGAACTCCGAAGGTTTTGGGAGCTCGAAGAGGTGGCCGCCCAGCCGATACTCACGCCAGAGGAGTCTCGTTGCGAGCGGCTGTTCGCTGAGACTCACACACGTGATGCTGAGGGAAGATACATCGTGCGGCTCCCTCGCAAGGAGCACCCGACGACGGCTCTTGGGTCTTCTCGCCACGGGGCCTTGCGAATGCTCCTCAGCACTGAGCGCCGTTTGACGCGCGATCCGTCGCTCAGGGAGCGATATCACGACTTCCTGACGACCTACGCCTCCTGCGGGCACATGGAACCGGCACCCCGCGGCGAGGCAATCGGCGAACCATACTACCTGCCGCACCATGCGGTGGTGAAGGCGTCAGACCCGGAAGGTAAAATCAGGGTCGTTTTCAACGCCTCCTTCCGGACCACCACGGGAGTCTCATTGAACGACGTGGTAATCCCGGGACCGAAGCAGCAGGCGGACCTATGGCTGGTCTTACACGCTGGCGTCTACATCGATTCGCCTTCACAACGGACATCGTGAAGATGTTCAGACAGATCCGGGTGCATCCGCATGACCTTGACCTTCAGCGGATCTTATGGCGGGCGGATCTGGCGGCGTTGGTGCAAGACTACCGACTCACCACCGTCACTTATGGCACAGCCCCCGCGCCGTACCTGGCCATCAGAACCCTGCTACAGCTCGCGCAGGACGAGGGCCATCGATTCCCCCTGGGAGCAGCTGTACTCCGGGCCAACACCTACGTGGACGACATCCTCGCGGGAGCAAACTCGATGGAGGACGCGCTCGAACTCCAGCGGCAGACTGTGGCCCTCCTCGCTGCCGGCGGCTTTCAACTCAGCAAGTGGGCAGGTACTCACACCGCGTTGTGTCCGGCCGTGGGCAGAGCCGAACGACTCATCTCTGGAGTGGACAGCGTGGGTGCCCTAGGAGTTCTCTGGGTCCCGGCGAACGACGAGCTTTACCTTCGAGCAGTCCCCGCGCTGTCGAAGGTCGGGAATCCAACCAAGCGCACCATCCTCTCAGCTGTAGCCAAACTTTTTGACCCGGCGGGCTGGGCGGCTCCCGTGATCATAGGCGCCAAGATCCTCATCCAGGACTTGTGGATGGCCGGGTTGGATTGGGACCAAACCATCCCGCCTCCATTGCGCGAGCGGTGGTCGCGCATTCTGGCTATGCTGCCAGACCTGGATCAGCTCAGCATTCCGCGGTGGACAGGGACCTCGAACGAGCGCCTCGTGGAGCTCCACGGCTTCTCCGATGCCTCGGAAAGAGCGTACGCCGCTGCGGTGTACATCCGGGGTGTTGACTCCAACGGCATCCTGGTCTCCAACCTCTTGGTCGCGAAAACCAAAGTGGCCCCTGTGAAGCCAGTTTCTATGCCGCGACTGGAGCTGTGCGGTGCCCTGTTGACAGCACGCCTACTCCGGAACACCAGCGCTGGCCTAGGGGTGCCTCTCTCGCACCTATACGCCTGGACGGACGCCAAGGTCGTGTTGGCATGGCTGCGGGCTCATCCTTCCCGCTGGAAGCCATTCGTCGCCCATCGGGTTGCTGCGCTACAAGAGACGGTGCCAGCCGAGCGCTGGCATTACGTCCCCACTTCAGAAAACCCGGCGGACGCTGCCACGCGAGGATTGACCCCGATCGAGCTGTCGCAACTTCGCTTGTGGTGGAAAGGACCGGGCTGGCTGGAACGACCCAAGGACACCTGGCCGGCGGACCGGGGTCAAGACATGGAGCTGTTAGAGGAGTGCCGAGCGCACGCGACAGCTACCGACGGAGGCGAGGGAGCGGTCAATGACCTTTTGTTACGCTTCTCCTCCCTTACCCGGTTGGTACGCATCACCGCATTCTGCCGTAGGTTACTTCACCGCGGAGCCCGACCGAGAACGACTCACCTGACCACCGCCGAACTGAACGACTGCAGGCTCAGTTGGCTGCGAATTGCGCAGGGACAGGACTTTGCGGGAGAGCTGGAGGCCCTCTCGCGCAATGCGCCCCTCCCGCGCCGATCACATCTCCTGGCGCTCAGACCCATCCTAGGACGGGATGGACTGATACGAGTCGGGGGGCGACTTGAACACTCGCCCCTGGCCTACAGCGAGAAGCACCCGATCATACTGGCCAAGGGCAATCACTTGGCACTGCTGCTGGTCCGAGACGCGCATCTGCGCACTCTTCATGGCGGACATCAGTTGACTCGAAGCGTCCTGGCACGGACGTACTGGATTATTCACGCCAGTTCGCTGATCCGCTCCGAGATTCACCGCTGCGTCCGATGCGCCCGCTTCAGAGGCGAAACGCTACAGCAGCAGATGGGTCAGCTCCCGGCTGATCGCGTCCGGACAGGACGTCCCTTCATATCCGCCGGCGTGGACTACGCAGGCCCTATCCAGCTACGAGCCTCGAAGGGTCGAGGTCAAAAATCCTTCAAAGGATACATCTGTTTATTCGTATGCCTGTCCACGAAAGCCGTGCATTTGGAGGCCGTATCAGACCTCACCACGGAAGCCTTTCTGGCGGCATTCCGGCGCTTCGTTGCACGGCGAGGCCACTGCGCACGTCTGGTCAGCGACCACGGAACCAACTTCCGAGGCGCCGATAGGGAGCTCCGCAAGATGTTTCGAGCAGCAGCGGAATTCGGCCAGGAGTGTCAAGCCCTCCTCGCCACCGATGGGGTCGAGTGGAACTTCATTCCCCCCGCAGCTCCGCACTTTGGGGGGCTATGGGAGGCAGGTGTCAAATCGACCAAGCACCACCTACGAAGAGTACTGGGGGACCAGCTTCTCACCTACGAGGAACTCTCGACGCTGCTCTGCCAGATCGAAGCCTGCCTCAACTCGAGGCCACTCTACCCACTGAGCGCGGATCCGACGGATTTTGCGGCGCTCACCCCCGGTCACTTTTTAATCGGGGAAGCTCCGATTAACGTGCCAGAGCCAACCACCTTGGAGGATCCGCCGAATCAGGTACAAACGCGATGGCGACTTCTAATTAACATGCGTGACCATTTTTGGTACAGGTGGTCCCGAGAATATCTGCAGCACCTTCAGCAGCTGGGCAAATGGAGGGACTGCAAGGCCAACCTCCAGCCAGGGACCTTGGTTCTGCTGAAGGACGAGCTGCGGCCGCCATCAAAGTGGGCCCTTGGGCGAGTTCACGAGGTGCATCCAGGGGTCGACGGCCTAGTTCGCGTTGTCAGCATCGACACGGCCACCTCCCGGCTCACGCGGCCGATCACGAAGATCTGCCCGCTCCCGGTCGCCCCGGACCTCTAATCCACAGGACCCCTGGGCCTCGAGCGAGCGTCGTACGGCGGGCGGCGAGGGTTTCTATTTCGTCCCCTGGACGAGGCGGGTGGAATGTTGGAGTGTCGGCAGAACTCCGCTGGCACTACAGACGACGTTGGCACGATGACCGCGAGGCTTTCGGAAGGTTGCGACTCGAGCCATCAAAACATTTTATTTTGGTGCTCGGTACACGCCGCTTTCGATTGCCTTATATGGTCATTTTTCGATAATGTTTACGAGAACTACGGTCCCTTTCCCTCGCGATCGGGTGGATCGAGGAGCTCGAAGCGAGGGAGGGGGGCTTTTCTCGAAATTCCTTTTCGCGACCAAGAGGGCCAGTCTGATACTGGCACGACGAGCGGTACCATGCGCGTCAATTATCGAGACAACGAGAAATATATCTTTGTATTTTCTTTTTTTTGTAATTTGTGTTTTCTGTGTCAGTTAACGACGGCACAGCTTCGCGTGCCGTGAATAAAGACAAGTGACGTGTAAAGCATTCTTTTGAATCTCCACCCTCTAATCCGCGCAATCCACCGGCCGTCCTCCAACCGGCGAAAATTCGCACGGCGAGTCGCATAATAAAGCAACATTATTTACTTGCAGTCAAGCGTACAAAACGTGATTGAAAATCAAAACTGTCATTTCTTGTTCAATTTACATTTTTTTGTTAATTATCGATAAAAAATCATAATAAAATATATATTTGCATTATGCAGTTATATTTCTCTATTTGTATGAAAAATAGGCGTATATGACAATAAAAGACTGATGTATGGATAAATTTTTAACAAAATTGTTTTATTTGTTGTCTTACATATTACATAAGAATTTATTTTATAAAATTTAATATCAAACTTTAATAATTTTTAATTAAAATGAGCTGAATAGAAGATATATAATCGTAATATTCATAATTATTAATAAATGAAATATATTTGTGTAATCGTTATGGTTATAATCGTTATAATCTTGAAACTATAATTGTACATTGTTTCCTAATTTTTATAACTAAAAAAACATAAATATTTGAAAGCACTTTGATAGTTTTGTACATTAAATACATATCATACATATTTTTAATTGAACGACACAGATTGATACAATGCAGTATGTGATATGTCGACGTTGACAACGACACGATATTGATATTTAAAAAAATAATAAACATAATATTTAAATATTAATATTAGAACATAATATTTAAACAAATTTATTTGGATACTCTTATTCAAATCATCGTTGAAACAGTTGTCTACATAATTCGTCTCTGAGATCGCGACCATGTCGATCATCATCCGGATCTTCATTTCTATCTGCTGCTGGGACATTATGTAACAATACCTGCGCATTTATATCAGCATGGTTGTCGACTTCAGGTTCTTCCATGTGTTGCAAATCATCCAAGTCAGCCAAATTGTGAAGAACGCAGCAAGCGAAGATGAATTTGACGATAAATTGCATATTCCTCAACTTGAGGAAATATAACTGTCTGAAACGTTGTTTCAGTATTCCAAATCCATGCTCAACTGAAATTCTGCATTGACTGTGTATACGATTAAAATTTCTTTGGGCCTGTGTCAAATGTCCATTATCCCGATATGGAGTAATTAATTGGAGAAGGCATGGATATGCAGCATCTCCAAGAAGTATGCTTCCATCTAAAATAAAAGCATGTATATTTAAAATTAACAGCTAAGGCTAAGGCTGCTTTTTGATATTCATTCTGCTAGTTGAAAATCTATATTTTATATTATGTACTACAGATTTATAATACTGGCAGTAAATATCAAAACGTAGCCTATGAAAACATTTACAGTGAAGTATATATTTTAATCATAAATCTTACAGATATGGCAATGCATAGTCAACCACATCTACATACATAGAAATATTGAAAAATGTTTCTTTTTTTAATCTCCTCCGGACTTTCGAATACAGAAACTGTTGACGCATGTCATAAATTTGTATAATCAATAGACTCTTATATTAATCGCTCGTATATCAACGGAAAGGTTCGATCGTTCGAACCGACACACGACAACATTATCGACCTTGTTCACCATCCCATGTGATAAGAGTCACGCTGTCACGTGTACATTTTATTTACTCCTATTCTTTCGTCGCTCCGATTCGCCGAAACAAACATCCGATCCCGAGAAAGAGAGGATTCCGTGACGAAAACTCGGAACGCTCCCGAAAACCGAGAATCAGATCTCTGCGAACCGTGCTATCGATCAGCTGCAAATACAAGTAAACATATGTTCGTTGCTGTAATCACTTTCCTCTCGGAGCGAGCCTTCACGAGGCTGTACAAGCCACCAGTCGATCAACAATAATTTGAATTAGAGCGACGCCGTCGCGCCTACTGATATCGACAACATTTTTTGGTCCTTCGAGCCGGATCGCTAACGAGAGAAGACGACAAGTCGTGAAGTACATCATCCAATTACATTTTGGCTGACTTTGATCACGACCTACGTTGTTTAACGCAGCAGCCGCCATTCCAATAATGGCTACCACCGCAAAGCTTTTGGAGCAACAGCTCGACCTTGTTAGATCGGTTGCAAATGCCGTATCTAATTTCAAAAAACTCGGCCACGCCAAGATGACGTCCACCGTGGCTGCAAACCGGATGGAACGCGTCAAGGAACAGTTCCGGGAGATTCGCGTCAACAACGCCAAGCTGTTAGTCCTCGCCGAGGCCGCTACGAAGACCACGCATCGATACTTCACCGAGGAGCTGTATCAACAAGCCGAGGTCCAGATGGATGCTGCCCTTGACTACCTGGCCGAATTTGCCATACCTCCCATTGCCGCCCCGCACATCAACATCATGGACGCTTCGAACGCAAGTACCGATTATCATCATGGTCCGCGCCCGGTCTCGCGTTTACCGCGAATCGAATTACCGAAATTTGACGGCTCTTTCGAGCGATGGGAAACGTTCCGCGATAGATTTAAAGCAATGGTAATTGACGATCCGATTTTAACAAATGTAGAACGCCTGCATTACTTATGTTCAATCGTTACCGGAACGGCCAGCACTTCGCTGAGTCACTTAGCAGTCACCGATGCGAATTTCGAAGTCGCGTGGCAAATCTTATCGTCGCGCTTTGAAAATCAACGTCGAATCGTCAACTCCCATCTTCAAATTTTATTCTCGTTACCGTCGGCAACGCATGAAACCGCGAAAGAGTTGCAGACTCTGCGTGACACCACCAATACCACCGTACAAGCGCTGAAAAATCTAAAACGTCCCGTCGATACGTGGGACGATGTTCTCGTGTTCCTCGTTTCGCAAAAACTCGACAAAGCTTCGAGAAAAGCGTGGGAATTAAAAATGAGCGAATCGCAAAATTTACCGTCCTATTCTCAACTCGACAAATTTTTAGAGTCTCGCATTCGCGCGTTCGAAGTTATCGCCCCGACGAAAAACATCGAGTCAGCCGAGACTACCTCGTCAAAAATTAAATCGGCCAAATCCGTAGCATCACATACAACGGCCGTGAAGTTCGAATGCCCGGTCTGTAAGGGCCATCATCGTTTATTTCAATGTACACAATTTGCCGCTTATACGCCGGAGCGCCGTTTCGAATTTATTAAATCGAACCGCCGTTGTTATAATTGTTTCGCGGCAAACCATGCGTTAAAGGATTGCACCAACAAGCATCGTTGTCGAGAATGTAAGCAAAAGCATCACACTCTCCTTCACCTTGGAAACCACGCAAAGTTACCGTATGCTGAATCGTCACATTCAAAAGAAGAGACGAAAAAAGACCAAGACAAAAACGTTGTCGCTCTTACCCTAACACGTTCAATGCCAGCTATTCCCGCCGTTCTGCTCGCTACAGCGCGCGTCCGCGTACATTCCGCGCACGGTCGCTTCATTCCCGCTCGCGCGCTTATCGATCCAGGATCGGCTGTGACACTCATTACGGAGAATCTTGCGCAATTACTCCGTCTTCCTCGAGTAAAGCAAAATTTAAGCGTTACTGGCGTTGGTCAAACAAAAACTTCCGCACGCTACGCAGCAAATATCAAAATTAGTCCCGTAAAAAGTAACAATCCCGCGTATTCGACGACGGCTTTAATATTGTGTTCGCTCGCGGAATACGTGCCACCTCCCGTTGCGTCTCACACTAAGTGGACGCACCTCGACGCCCTCGAATTAGCCGATCCTGATTTCCTGAGTCCTACGCCAATCGATATAATAATTGGAGCCGATATGTATGGAAATATTCATCGCGACGGTTCACACAAGGGAACACCACACGAACCGTTCGCGCAGAATACCGCGTTCGGCTGGATTCTCTCGGGTCCTACCGTCGAAACCTGCCCCCGCAATTCCGTACCCGCATATCATACTAACATTTCACCTAATCTTGAGCATACCTTAAAACAGTTCTGGGAACTCGAAGATATCCCAGCCCGCGTTCATCCGAGTCCGGAAGACACCCAATGTGAGGAGCATTTTGTGACGACTCACTACCGCACCATGGAAGGACGCTACGTCGTGCGTCTTCCCTTTAGAAATGGCCCGCCTCGCGACCTTGGAGACTCTCGATTCGCCGCGTTGAAGAGTCTCGAACGGCTCGAACGTCGTTTTCGAACCGACCCATCGTTAGCAACGGAATACACCGCATTCCTTACCGAGTACGCAAACCTAGGTCATATGACTAAGATAAATCCTACCGAATTTCCCGCCCAAGCTCCCGCGTACTACATTCCACACCGTGCCGTGATCCGTGAACATAGCAATACAACCCGACTTCGTGTTGTGTTTAACGCGTCGTGCAACACCGCCACCGGCAAATCATTAAATAGCGCTCTTCATGTAGGAGCAAAATTGCAAACCGATCTAGTAGCGGTCGTCCTCCAATGGCGACAACCTCGATTTGCACTATCAGCGGACATCGCCAAAATGTATAGGCAGATTTTAGTACACCCTCTCGATACGAAGTATCAATGCCTCTTATGGCGATCGT